TCACTGAATTGGCCTCAAAAATCACCTGAATGTTCATGGTGAGGGACAGGTGGGCACACCTGGGCAAACCTGGCACACCTGGCACACCTGGGCACGGGGGGCGCAGGTGAAAATCCCTGAAAAAAACCCAAAATCCCCGAGGTTTTACACCGAAATTCACTGAATTGGCCTCAAAAATCACCTGAATGGGCCCCAAAATTCACCTGAATGGACCCAAAAATCACCTGAATGTTCATGGTGAGGGACAGGTGAGGGACAGGTGGGCACACCTGGCACACCTGGCACACCTGGCACAGCTGGGCACGGGTGGGGCAGGTGAAAATCCCGGAAAAAACCCCAAAATCCCCGAGGTTTTACACCGAAATTCAGTGAATTGGCCCCAAAATTCACCTGAATGTTCATGGTGAGGGACAGGTGGGCACACCTGGCACAGCTGGGCACACCTGGCACACCTGGCACACCTGGCACACCTGGCACACCTGGGCATGGGTGGGGCAGGCGAAAATCCCCGAAAAAAACCCAAAATCCTCGAGGTTTTACACCAAAATTCAGTGAATTTGCCCCAAAAATCACCTGAATGGGCCCCAAAAATTCGTTAAAATGTTCAAGGTGAGGAACAGGTGGGGGATACAAAAAAATCCCAAAAAATCCCCAAAATCCTCGAGGTTTTACCCCAAAAATCACCTGAATTTTCCATGGTGAGGGACAGGTGAGAGACACAAAAATTCTCAAAAAAATCCCCAAATTCCCGAGGTTTTACCCCAAAATTCAGTGAATTGGCCCCAAAAATCACCTGAATTCACCCAAAATTCACCTGAATTCACCCAAAATTTCCTTAAAATGTTCATGGTGAGGGACAGGTGAGAGATAGAAAAAATCCCAAAAAAAACCCAAAATCCCCGAGGTTTTACCCCAAAATTCAATGAATTGGCCCCAAAAATCACCTGAATGGGCCCCAAAATTCACCTGAATTCACCCAAAAATTTCCTTAAAATGTTCAAGGTGAGGGGCAGGTGAGGGATAGAAAAAACCCCCAAAAAAAACCCAAATCCCCGAGTTTTTATGCCAAAATTCAGTGAATTGGCCCCAAAAATTCTTTAAAATGTTTGTGGTGAGGGACACAAAAAAACCCCCCAAAAATCCCCAAATCTTTGGGATTTTACCCCAAAATTCACGGAATGGGCCCCAAAAATCCCCTGAATTCCCTCACCTGTGCTGGGGCTCACGTGCACACACGTGTTCTCACGTGTTCTCACGTGTACACGCGTGTTATCACATGTACACGCGTGTTCTCATGTGTACACGCGTGTTATCACATGTACACACATGTTCTCATGTGTACACGCATGTTATCACATGTACACATGTGTTATCACCTGTACACGTGTGTTATCACATGTACACGCGTGTTCTCACATGTACACGTGTGTTATCACATGTGCATGTGTGTTATCACATTTACATGTGTGTTATCACGTGTACATGCGTGTTATCACATTTACACGTGTGCTATCACATGTACACGTGTTTTCTCACATGTACACCTGAGTTCTCACGTGTACATGCGTGTTATCACATGTACACGCGTGCTATCGCATGTACACGTGTGCTATCACATGTAAACGTGTTTTCTCACATGTAGACACCTGTTCTCACATGTAGACACGTGTTCTGACATGTAAACACGTGTTCTCACATGTACATGCGTGTTTTCCCGTGTCAGACACCACGGGCTGGGGCGTGTCGCCCCGCGGCGCCGGGTACCCTCACACGCGTGTTCTCACGTGTTCTCACGTGTTATCCCGTGCAGACACCACGGGCTGGGGCGTGTCGCCCCGCGGCGCCGGGTACCCTCACACGCGTGTTCTCACGTGTTTTCCC